AATTCTCTTGAAGGTACTTTACTTGTTCTTGTCCTTTTATGGAATCGCTCCTGCACTTGTACAGCTGAGCCTGATCTGTATTTACTGTTTTGGCGTTTGCTTTTGCAGGGGGCGATCAAGTGTCGGCATCTCAAATAACTAATACAGTGTGGAATTCATTGAAAGGACTGGCCAGTTCTGGTGCTGCATTTTATTTCAGATTTGCCTACAATGGCCCATTTGTTCTGAAGAGACAACTTTGAGTTATTTATGTGTTATTTTGGCAGGGACGTATATACCAAGGAAGGAGCCTCCACAATTTGTTGCTCTTTCAGCCTATGGTTATCTTGAAGGTACACATGTTAGGACTATAAACATATTTTTTTTGCTTCCATTGTTTTTTTATTTTTAGTAATGGATTTGTAGCTCACCTTTGTGTGCGATCTAAATATGTATATGCATAATATGTTTCTGGCAAAATAAATTATGTAGGTGGAATTGGATCTGGATACAAGAAGCTCATAGAAGAAAAGGTGCGAATGGGTGAGACTTATACTACTGAAGGCATAGCTCTAATTAATTATCTGGGACATCTATCCACAACAACAAGACTCTTCAAATCGATGCGGTACTACCTAGCTCTTTCTACTAGATGTCCGATGGTTTTTTCTATTGAGGCTCTTTGATTTATAAATATAATGTGCTAGTGGTGTGGTGTGGTATTTTAGAATAGATTGGTTCAACATTTACTAGTGAAATTCAGTTTAATTATCCTTTGAGCTGATCGGTTATTGTTTTATAGGGTGGCAACATCTTTAAAGCTCAGCGGAGTGTTTTGTACTACAATCTGGAAATGCTATGTTTACATGGTTTGGCAATTCTAGCACATATGAGCAACAGCAGTGGGCAGCAAAGTTGCTGAATTTTTGAAGGTATGAGGGCACCTTTAGACAGCTTTAAGCCAACCAATTAAAGTTTCTAGCACTTTTTAAGTTCTATAAATCAGTTGAGGTTTTCCTCTTGTTCAATATCCGCTTCTATGTAGGAGAGCACCCTTTGGTGTTCTGCGGTGCTTACTTGCGCTTCCAAGAGTTGCTCTTGAGGTCAGTTGCCCTGGTCAACTAAACCTCTTATTTAACTGAGGGCTATTGGTGAGTACGTTTTCTTTTTGTTTTGTGTGGTGCCTTTTTGTTTTGTTTTTGGGGGTCTGGAAAAGGCACTTTGCCTCTTTTCTTTGTATATTTCTATCTTCTTATAATGAAATTATATGCAGTTCTCCTCCTGCGTGAAGTTCGAGAAAAAAACCCGCTTCTAACATTTGAATATTTCCAATCTCTTACAGCCTGGCGTTGCAGTGAAGCACTGCAAGGAGGGACAGAGTTCTGCTTTCTGGTTTGCCTCCTTGGAGGAAAACAGAGTTATACAAATAAAATGCTCCTCAGGATATTATTACTAGAGAGCCTCACTTGTATGCATTCTCATTCAAGAAACGGTCAGTTGCTGTAAACTTTTGTACATGCTTTCTTGCAGTTGCATATCCATATGAAGTTTCTGTTTGCTTTCATTCATTTTTTTGAGATATCTATATTATACAAGTTTCTGGCCTAACTATCATTTTATTGCTCGGTTTTGTTTATGCTACGATCATCGTCATTAACCAGGGAGACTGGAGGTCGGTCCTCTTACACTTGCTCTTAGATCTATATTTTGTTTTGCAAAATTCAGGGTATCTGATTTTATGGGTTTATTCAGGTTACTGAGATCTTCAACTTTTCCCAAGATGATTTGTTAACTGAAGACATGATGATACTTGACACACATGGTGAGGTTTTCATCTGGATTGGTCAGTGCGTGGAATCGAAAGAGAAACAGAAAGCATTTGATATCGGCCAGGTATCAACTGAAGCCCTGACCTTATTCAAGCTGTCAGTTCCTGTTTGCTGTTGTACTACCGTTATTCTGTATGCGTAATGACTACTTCTCCCCCAGAAATACGTGGAGCATGCAAATTCTATTGAAGATCTTTCTCCATATGTACCACTATATAAAGTCATGGAAGGGAATGAGCCATGCTTCTTCAAGACGTACTTCTCTTGGGATAACACAAAATCTTTGGTATGATCTTTATCTTATTCTATTTTATTATGCTTTTGCTGTTCTATCTGATATTATTCATAAAAAAATATTAATTAGATTTCTGCTGCAAGGTTGTTTTCTTGTTATAATCTGCATCATGTTTACTAATATGTTTCTTACTTTACACAGGTTCATGGAAATTCCTTCCAGAAGAAACTCTACGCTACTTTTCGGATTGCGTTCTGAGGTAAACCTGAGATTTTAGGTTTGAGTTATATATTGAAAAAACACATGCATATATATGCATGGTTTTCTTTAATGAGTTTTCTGGATGTTCTCAAGTCAGTTGTTAAGTTGTTTTTATAAGATGGATTTGATATTTGCATGAATAACTATTTCTTGGACTGTAGAAAGGTTACATTGAACCATTATTTGGAAATGCAAATACATGTTAAGCTAGTACAATCTTTACATCAGTCCTTTTGTAGGCACCTAGGAGCTCTGGTAATGGTGGACCAACTCAGAGGGCATCTGCATTAGCAGCTCTATCATCCGCATTCAATCCATCGGCTCAACAAAGGCTGGTAGGTTTGAAACCGTTGATTTGACTTCTCACAAAAAATGTCTACATTTCGTCTAAAAGAATGATACATTCTTTAAGAAAACATTGATGTAACTATCTCACAAAAATGTCTACATTTTGTATAAAACAAAACATCGATGTAACTACCTAGTTGATCCTTCTTTTCAGTCTAATGAGAGGCCTAAAAGCACAGGCGATGGACCCACTCAGCGTGCCTCAGCACTGGCTGCCTTATCTAATGCATTCAATGCATCCGTAAAACCAACAAAACACCACCTCCATCTCGCTCAGGTCAAGGTTCTCAAAAAGAGCAGCTGCAGTAGCTGCACTATCCTCTGTGCTGACTGCTGAGCAATCTGGATCATCAGAAAATCTACGAGCAAAAGCTAGCAGCACAGCTGATAAGACTGGTAGAGCCGCACCTTCCTTTTCAATTTATCATTTGTTAAAGAATAGCTAGGCAAATGTACGGGGCCGAAAGTTTCTTACTTTCTTTGAATTTTCTAATTTGTATTCTTTTCCAGTTTATCATTATTTAGGCATTTTGAGTTCTTGATCTGTATTCCTCGTTTCTTCAAAATGTTTTCTTTATAGTCTTGCCTTTTTTTTAATTTGCAAATGTAGCCTTGGAGTCATGTCTATTTGATTTTGTTGGTACATGTTGTCGTCGGTAAATCTTCTTCTTCTTCTTCTTCTTTTTATTTTTTTTAATTTTTTAGTCATGGCTAATGGAATGTACATAGATGAAGTCCACTATCGCTTTGCTGGCCTATTTATCACTTCAAAGTTTGACAACTTTGATCAATGCAGATGTCGACAGGGTTGTCATAACTCCAGCTGGGCCATCTGGTCCATCTTCTCCTCAGTCTGAAGCTGGGGAGTTCAACGTGTTTCACCAGGAAAAAGATGTTGCAGTAGATGGGGCACCATCTGGCACAGATGGAGCAGTGGCTGAGGCCCCGGTGGAAGAAACAACAGAGAATGTTGGTGAAGCGACATTTAGCTATGACCGCTTGATATCCAAATCTACAGATCCAGTTCGTGGGATAGATTACAAACGTAGAGAGGTTTGTTCCCTGCATCCATCCCCCATTCTCCTTAAAGCGGTAAATTTTGTCTAGTGACTTCACGATGTGAATAGTTATGGAGTTATTTCTTGGTTCCATGCATCCATAAGTAACCACAGCCTTTCGCCTGCAGCTAGATTGCTTGCTTCTGTTATATTGATGCATTTGGTTCGATTGGTTCTCTTTGAACAACTCCTTTCACATTTATCCACACGTATATTCTTTTGTTGCTCTTTTAGCCAAGTCTATTCATGTCCGAGTTTGCTTAAAGAGAGGTTTACATGAACCGTGCTGGGCCAAATTTATATAATTATTACTCTATTGATTCTGCAGGCATACTTATCAGATAGTGAGTTCCAAACTGTTTTGGCATGACTAAGGATGCATTCTACCAACAGCCAAATTGGAAGCAAGAACTACAGAAGCGAAAAGCAGATCTCTTCTAAAGAGAACAAGCCTTGTTTCTAGTGTCTGCTACAAAATGTGTCGTGAATGGTCGGTCCCATGGGAGTAAGTCTATTAATATATTGTTGGTCATTTCTGAGGACGGGCTACTGGTGGCTTTGCTCGGTTGTTTTTTTGCAACCAATTTTATAGGTCAATTCTTTTATTTGTACATGGCCTGAGTTGTGCTGCTTGCGGAGGTCCTAAGATGCTCATAGCTTGCTTTGTGACTGTCCATATGTGTATATCGTTTTTTTCATCAGTTTGTTACGTATGGGCATTTTCTGGTAGGTTACCATTGTAGTCATTCAGATGTATGTATTGCACACGAAATATTTGTGCTATCCGTTTGCTGTTGATGGTTGGCAGTTGTTTGGGATTTGAACACTTGGTTGAATTTCTCCATTTTTGTGTGGCCTTGCATTTTTTTCCTTTCTTTTCATAGATGTACTCCAAGCAACATGCATGGCTGTCATTTGTGTAGAGAACATAGAGAACATAGATTTGTTAGTGTCTGGCTCAGGAGTTGTAAGGGCGTATTAAGGTGTGGAAAAGTGGAACGAGACCAGATTATGATCATTGTTATCTTCTATCAGCAAATATTTTGATGATATAAACCAATAATCTTGACTATGTCAAACTCATCCAACTCATTTTAAAACTAAACTAGTAGAAATTTAAATGTACAAACAAACACGATCATTCAACTATATAGTAAGCAGTTATTCCGTGTACAATGGATTTGAGGCAGATTACGATCATGTGCTCCAAGAATAAATCAGCAAATATTTGGTAAAGGAACAGAGCCTGGATCCTTGTACGATCTGCGGCTTGGATATTTTCAACAATCGTGTTACACGTTCTAATTCATTTTGAGGTCGGACTCCACGCGTCATGTTTGATGTCGCGTAAAAGAAATATATAAAGAGTCAAAGACATATCTTATACCACCAAGGTCCAAAAATTAAACAAGCTAAGTATGCACAAGCTTTAATTTGTTTGACACCGATAACGCCAATTGCGAGTACAAAGGGTACGTACGGGAAAAACCGATACTTGCGCGACGACGCATTTGTGAAAGTGTGGACAGCGCGTGTAGTCCCATGATCCATATCATATGCGATTAGGCTCCGCCGTCGAACGTCAAAGAGGTAAACCACAGCGCAGTCCGGATGGATCGCAACCACGCGGTGGCGCTTCCCAAACCACATCTCCTTCCCCGACGGATTCAGTGACGACATGGCGCGGTGCTTCAAGACCCACCGCTCCACGCGGCCGCAGCTCGCGAGAGCATAGACCGACAGCTCGCGCGTCGGCGTCCACGTCCACGTAGAGCAGGCGGCGCTGCGACTGGCCAATGGTGCCGGGTCCGCCGAGCGTCTTGGCAGCGCACACACGGGTGATCCTCCACGTCTGGCCCGCGGCGTCCACCGACGCGACGACCACGCCGTTCGCGGTGGTGGTGGCGAGGTGCAGGAAGCCGTTGAGGTAGGCGTGCTTGCCGGCGTAGGCGACGTCGACGTGCCTCCAGTCGGCATTCCTGAGAACCCACTCCCCGGTCTCCGACGAGTAGATACGCACCGCCTTGAGGAGGCTGTTCCCGCCCACCAGCTCCATCAAGTTGAAGTGCGAGGAGACTGCCGGGTCGAAGGCCAGGGAGGCAGGGCGGGCCCAGTCCATACGGTTCCTTAGCAGCATGAGCCCATCAGCAGCATCGATAAGGGCGGCGTCAACTCCGGGGTCATGCAGGGCGGGGCAGGTCGACCCAGCTCCGGGTGCCGGGGTTGCAGACGACGTAGCGGGGCGGCCAGCGGCGGGTCATTGTCGGTCACGCAGCGCAGTCCAGCAGCCTCATGCGGGTCCTGTTGTACCTCGAAGGCAGGAACGGGAAGGTTGACCGACGAGGCGCGCCGCTGAGCGTGGAAGAGGAAGCCCGACAAGCCTGAGGCGGTGGACGGGGCCAGAGATGAGATCACGCCATGATCGGCAGATGCACTTGAGGCGGCACAGCTGCTTCGCCGGCAGCCGCGAGAGGATCTCGGTGATGAAGTCGTCGGCGAGGTAGGCGCCAGGTGGTGCCGCTCAGGCCCATCAGTCATTACGTGAAATCGACATTTCGATTGATCAGCGCCAGGAAATTAAGATCCAATCTTGATGCGGCTGAATAGCCCGAAATATAACAGAGTCCAGAGGAAAAATTCAAATCTTCGACTGCAGGCAGCGGCAGAAACTACCCAACAGTCCAGAGTCGGTACGCATAACAGAACCATCCAGAAAAGGGAAAAAAAATCCATCGGATTATAACAGAGTTGGATTGGGATTTAAAGTTGAGTCCATATTAGTATAGTAGACAGATATAACCAAGAACATGAAACCAATTATTTCAACAAAGCAAATAGTAACAAAAAAAGAATAACTTATAATTTGCATTAGATGGAGTATTATTTAGCTATCCAAAGAAGTAAAGAGCTGCATCAGTCTCAAGCAATTAATTGAGAAGGTTGGATGATCGTGCCTAACAACCAGCAGGCAGAGCTTCTCTCTTGCCTAGGTTGCCTACAAAGGACTGGTCGTCGTACCCACCAGAGATGCTGGACGTACACAGCCAGCAGAGAAATCGTCAGGTGACCTTGATGCATTCTGCCGAGCAGCCGAGGCAAGTGAACAGAACACCACGCCTGCATTGCTGGTGGCGGCGGCGGAAAATGGCCGTCGGCAGGGCAGCCCAAATGGCTTCATCCCAGTCAACTTTAAACAAGTTGGGCCTTACTCTGAGTTCAATGTGAAAGATAGGCCCAGTAAATAATCTAGTACGGGCCCGCATAACAATGAACGTGACACACCTTGGTACCAAATTTAGTTTTTTTTTTTGTAAAAAATGTCACGTGACGGTATGGTTGTTGGTGTGTTAAGTGTCTAATCTCAGCAATTAGCAGGCGTGTGATCCTGGCAATTAGCTTAATTGTCATCGTACGGCCGCCGTAAGGAGGAGGACATGCACGTCTGGGAAATTAGGTGCCTTATTGTGTTCCCTTTTTTTTGTGTGTCGGTGCAAACATGTCAAACACAGTGTCATATCATGCATGATGCAACGTCCTGTGCACGCAATTATATTTAGGATTTGGGAACCACCTTTATATCACTACCGGAATGCACAGGTTTGCTGTGTGCTCACGGCACACGCAGCGAAGGCAAAAAACACTTCGGCAAAGACTTTGCGAGTATTGCACTTCGACAAGCGGCTTTCGACAAACACGACTTCGATAAAACTGTATTTGCAGAGTGTTTTTTCATCGAGCACTTTCGGCAAAAACGTTGTCGAGTGTTAAACTGACACTTCGGCAAAAATATTTCAAAAATATAAAAAAAAACCCACCGCCGCCATTGCATGCTCGCCCGCCGCCGCCACCACCACGCCGCCACCACCACGGGATCCGCCTCCCCACCACCGTGGCGCCGGAGTTGACGCCCGTGGCCGGATATGGTCTCCCCGCCACCGGAGTTGACGCAGACGTCGAGGAGTAACTCCACCGCAGAGGGCCGAGGCGGAGGAGGCCGCCAAGACTCACGCCGCCCGTCACTCGCCTCGGCCACGCCCAGCGTCGCGGATCCGGCTCCTCCTCGCCAGTGGCCGGATGGATCCAGGAGGGGCGCCAGTGCGGTCGGGAGGGAGGAAGGAGGGAGCTGCCACGCACCGGCGAATCGGGGAGGGGAGGGAGGAGGGTGCCGTGCTCGGGGAGGGAGGAGAGAGGGAGCAGCGGCCCGGTAGAGAGGGAGAGAGGGAGGGGCGGTGAGGGAGAGTGGGAGGGAGGCGCGCGGCCTTGAGATTTTATAAGGTGCCCAGTTTGTCAAGTGCCGAATCTAGGACACTCGGCAAAGCTAAGTTTGCCGAATGTTAGATCATGGCACTCGACGATGCACACTCGACAAACTCATCTTTGCCGAGTGCCTATCTTTTGCCGAGTGTTTTCTTTCTCGTTTGTCGAGTGCCAAACTTTGCCGTGTGTTTTTTTTGCCTCTTTTGCCGAGTGCAATTATTTTGCCGAGTGTTTTTGTGACAGCACTTTTCGGCAAATAGCTTCTTTACCGAAAGTGTCCTATAGAATGCACTCGGCAAATATTTTAGCACTTTCAAACAAACAGTTTCCGGTAGTGTATGTAAGCTACTCGATCTTCTTCCTTTTGCTTCGAGTTCAGAAATATAATGATAATCTGATTTGAAGGGTCCCTTAATTGCACGCAATCTTGTATATCTTTATAGCTTCAGATGACAAGTGACCAAGAGGCCTAATTAAATCCCACTTTTCAGTCTTAGTATACATGGTCCGCACAAATAACATAGAGATGTAGCTAGCGTTTCTCTTTACAACAAATAGTTTTTCTTACTTAAAATATTTTCATAAATAATTTTGTTCTTTAGTTTGATTTTATTGGTTCTTTCTCCATGCGTCCATTGTATTTACGCGCATGAACTCCATGTAGCTATTGTCGGTGAATTATGGGCTTAAAGCTATATATATCTCTGTCGATCATCTTCTTTTATCCGCCCACTACTATCCGTGGCCGGGCTTAATTATTCAGTTATTCTACTGGTGCAAAATCAAGGTAGGTTTTAGTTTTAACTCCATTCTCACTAAAACTATTGTTAAGTCTCTCACAAATTGTGTCCCTTAACCCTCTTTTGAATTTAGTTTTATATCACATTGTACCTTTGGAGATGTGCTAATTTTACATCCCTACTGCATTGTTGTAAGCTATAATGTATCCCATTTATTTCGACAGTTGGTGGTAGACTTCTTTTAGAAAAACCTGAGTGATGTCCGTTGCTCTGCTATGAACTTCTCATGCATGTGTATACTGTATAGGAGAATAGATGGAACAATTACACGTAGGGTATCACAAGGCAATGTGTTTTTCACGACATGGTCATAATATTGGCCACAAGAATCCATTTGTCCCCTAGGTCACTGTCATGAAAGCCATGCTTTGATGCACCTGTCATTGCCTCAATGACTCTTTTTTTTTTCCTAAACCATATATACCTACCTATCTAAGGTGTGGTGAACAAACTATTAGTTACAAATTTAGTAAAATTTAGCAAAGAAGTGTGGCAATGTGTGGTTATTATCAAACACGCCCTAAAGTTCTTAATATTGATTATTACCCTAGTCACTGCTGGGGTGCTGCGGGGGCCTACCAAATTTAGTTGCACGCATAACCAAATTAATAAACATGCATGCATGCATGCAGCACTTGCACCCTGCCAATTGCATTTGCATGCAACCAAACTAATAAACCATGCCAGACGCGGATAGGAGAGAGGGGTATTTTTGTCATTTTTCATGGCTCAAACACCCCTATTTGGAAGTAATATCTCTGTCTCTAAATAAATAGATTATGATGAGTTGGAACTCGTGAATAGCTGCTAAATTGCGGGATAAAATTTGAATGGTAAAACTATGTTTGGAGTGAGTACAGTTAAACATATACTCTACGTATGGAGCATGATCATAGCAAAAACAGTAGTAACGTGTGTTAATAAC